ATCCCAAATACTAGTAATTTGGGATTTTGGCGTCCCAAATCCCAAATGATTTGGGATTTGGGCAACACGTATAGTACCTAATATACTTATGTTTGCAAAAGAAGCATATGGGATGTGTAATCTATGGGATCGGCAACTTCAAATGCATAGCAGTAATTTATTGGAAAGAATTAACAATAAAAAGGTTCTTGGGATATTTACAAGAATCAGACTATAAAATCTGCAATACATCTATTAGTCCAGCCACGCGGTAACAGAATACGGAGAACATGTAAAAATGAAAGGAAGTCACTCGTTAATAAATGATATCCTCAAAATTTGCAAGACAAACGGTATCATATACAAGTTATCAAATACTATCAATGAAAGCATGATTACAAAAGGAGGCAATGTTACAATAAAGGAAATTCTTAATAATGGAAACAACTACCACATACACAGAAAAAACTTATGCTCACGTCAAATTCTATACTTGGAACAATTAACATCATATGATGACCAATGACTTCTCTGATGGCAAGAAATAGTAGGTAATGAGCATAGAGACCTGAAATCAAAGTGGTTCAGCATAATAGAATCTAAAATGTTATTAAACCTATTAAATAGACAAATTACTGATAATGAAATTGTAAAACGCATAAATGACAGATTTAATAAATGTAAATGGAATGTAGATAAACAAAGCCAGAATATTAAATGGGATGCTATAAGAGATGAATCTATCAAAGGTACAATAATAGGGAAAAAACGGAAAATAGTAGACAAAGACGAATTCATCATGATGCATTACACAAGAGCAATAAACAATGATAGGACAGAAAACTCAATCTTAGAAAAATGCTCTGGCTGTGATAAAGGTGATAGAGAGTTAGCTGAAAAAATGGTGAACAAAGAAATATGCCTAATTAAAACAAAAACAACAGACTCAATTAGCATTAATGTCATTAAAAGTAAAATATCCAATAGAGTATCTGATGATAAAAAAAATAAACTACGATTACGTTCAGAAGTGGGAGCTATTAGCAAGGGTATCGCAGAAATGGAAAAAAATAAACAAATAAAAAATAGAATAAACACACCAACAATTCCAAATACCTTTATAGACAATTATACAAATGAACGCTCATTAATAATTGGAAAATTTGAAAACTTTTGAGGAGACAACATAATAAAAGAAAATCTTAATAAGATCCGCCTCGAATTAAGTGAATATAAAGTAATAAACATCTATACAGATGGGTCAATGGAAAAAACAAACAACCATAATAACGAGAATAAAACCATAATGGGTTGTAGATAGATAGCTTTTGGTGAAGAGAACAAAAAATTCACGTTTAAAGAAAAGGTAGAGAGAGTGGCATCGTCAACAAGAGCAGAAATTATGACAATATTAACAGCAATCTATGCGACACCAAAGAATTCAGAATTAATATTATATACAGATAGTCAAGCAGCAATAGAGGCCATTAAATTAGAAAAGAAAGTAGGAGATAAAGTATATAGAAAGTTAAAAAATTGGATACTGTTAAAAGCAATCCATGAGTTAATAATAATGCAAAGAATAGAATTTAAACTTAATAAAATCAAAGTACACACAGGTGAGGAATTTAACGAAATAGCAGATAAACTAGCGAAAGAAGGTTGCAGTAGTCCACCATACAATCCCAATTTACATTTACTATCGACAGTAAATACCATAATGCAATGGAACTCGATACCTATTGAAGAACCAGCTCGTGATTTTACAAAAAAAGTATGTAAGACAAAACACTCAGTTGAATGGAGACTACTTAATAGAAACACCTCGAAATTAACGGATAAAAAAAATGAACAAATTTGCTGGAACTCGACATGGGCAACAGCAACAAGGTCACATATAGGAAAGCAAGTCACCAATAATGAAGACAACAGAAGTCGAGCGTTTAATATCAAAATATTAAATAATAAACTATCAACAATGGAAAAAATGACAATTAGATTTCCATCAGTATATAAAGACGATACATGTGTACGATGCAATAAAACAACAGAAAATCAAATACATGTCTTTTTATGTGAAAAAAATCTAATAGACATAAAGATGTGTAGAGAAAAATTAATTTCAATTATGATAAATAAAATAAATCAAAATGGTTCATATATTATTAAAAAAAAGTGTAAAGAGGATTTGGAAAATATGAGTGAATTATCAACTTATAATGATCAAACAATAATTGACAAATAAAACATCACATTCATAGATGTAATTATGGGCCTCATACTGATAAAATTCATAGAGAAAATACATAATATCACAAGAAATAAAGTGAATACAGACTCTCTGATAGGGGAAATCATGATTGAATTTAAATCCTATATACAAAAAGAAATTTGGGGGTGTCGTTGTAAAGAAGTCAAAAAGTGGGAAATTAATAACAAGATAAAAACTAGAAAGGGACGAAAACTTGTTTCACAAATAAACAATAATACTAACATTGACAATAATACTAATAATAATAATAATAACATTAGCAATTATAATAGTAATAAAATAAATACTGATAAAGTAAATAGAAAAAATATAATGAACATTTTTATAAATATATCTAAAAAACATATAAACAAAATAATCCACAATAATGTGAACTGGATGGGTGTATATAAAATAGGTTTATTAGCAGGGCCTTAACATGCTGAGGGCAAGTTCACTTGTCAGGCGGTAGGTTGCAGACGTGTTTCGTATGAATTAGTCTGAGTTCTATCTTTGTAATAATATTAGGATAAGTTAGATATTTACATTATGTAATAATGAAAAACTTACTATTTTCTTAATAAATAAATTTGGGACAAGGCCTTACTGAAACTTTAAAAAAAAAAAAAATTTTGTATTTCAGTTTCTGAATTAACTTCCTGTATTTCAATTTCTGAATTATTATCTTGTGTTTCAGTTTCTAAATTATTATCTTGTATTTTAGTTTCTAAAGTAGAATTTATAATATTAGATACAATAGATTCTTTATAAAATTTTCTATTATAAATAATACCTGCACATAATTTTGCCATATCTAATACACGTGTATACTAAATAAATAAAAAATTTAATTAAATAAAAATAAATACAAGAATTTTAATATAATTAAAATAAATTTTTTACCTTCAATTTATTTTTATTCTTAATATGATAAAATTCCATATTACTCCATAATCTTTCAACTGATGTAACATTAATACAAATATCAAAAATTCTAGAAGCAACTGTTTCTATTTCTGGATATGCATTTTTAATCCAATACTAATATTTATATATATTATTTTCAAATTGACAAATTATTTTATTATCAAAAAGATAATTCTTTTCTTGAAAAAAATCATTAAATTCGATAAGAATAGATTGAGAATCATATCCAGTTCAAATTTTATAATAATATATTAACTATTTTTCCATATGTAAATAATTGATTCTTGATAAAGATGGTGATGTAAAATATTTTGTTTGGTAAAATGGACGAAGAAGTCAAGAAAGAATAAGTAATGGCTATTTCCAAGATTCCCATCTTTTTTGTAAATGTGTTAAGATCCTATTTGTCATATCACTGTCTATATATTTTTTTCAAAATTGTGTAAGATAATCAAACTCATGTAAAACTTCATATAATCTTATTTTATCTATTTGTAATATATCAAAAATTTGACAATAAAAAATTAAAAGTTATTTCAGTTTTATTAAATTTCTCCAAAAATTTTCATTCATGATAATTGAATAAATATCTTGGGAAATATATCAGGAAATTTTTAATAGCAAATATATCCAGATATATTTGAACTGAATATATCTGAATATATTTGACCACCCACGCATTTATCCATATTAAATATTTGAATTTATTCAGATAAATATGTAAATATATTCACATATATTCGTTTATTCGAATTTATCCAGATACATTTTTGAATATATTCGCATATATTCATGTATTCAAATTTATCCGAATATATTTTTTCGAATATATTCACATATATTCGTGTATTCAAATTTATTCGGATACATTTTTTCGAATATATTCGCATATATTCATGTATTTAAATTTATCCAGATACATTTTTCGAATATATTCGCATATATCCGTGTGATTCGAATTTATCCAGATACATTTTTATTATATAACATCAGTAATTATATTAATTTGAAAACCTTCGAAATTATATCGCAACGTTAGATTTCGAAGGTTATCGATTGTGTTG